AAAAAACGACCAAAATATATTTCAAATAAATAAAAAGATACCATAAATACATACCAGAATTACATAATTACAAAATATCAGTGACCAAACAAACAAACTAACAAACGAAAAGCCAAATATTCAAACAATCAATCAGTCAACGAATATCTCGCAGCTAAGATACAATGCGCGTATACGCAAGGGGTGGCAACACTCAAGCCCTCTACATTCACAGCATCGCATAGCAGGTGGCAACTCGTTTTTGAATTTTTTAGCACAGATCGGACACTACTCTTCGACTCGACTGCTCAGAACTGCTAATAACTACGCGCTAATCAAAATCATAATTCTTACAAAAAATATAAAATAAAAATATTTTCTTTGTTAACTAGTGTAGTAGTGTGTGTCTGCTGCGGTTACTAACTTCCAGTATGCGTATGCGCCGCCATTTGCGCTCCACCCACGAGCTGTGACCGCTTGCCGTGGTCAGCGATTCTAGGCTCTTGACGCGCTTCGCTGCCGCAGTCGCTGCTGTCACCGCGGACGTTGCTGTGTGCTCCTTCGTTTCTATTTTAAGTATACTGGTGTCTAAAGATTCGACGCTCTGCAAAGGAAAGTCATTGTTGTCGTTGCTTGCTTTGTTTTGTTTTGTTTTTTTTCGGACTCTGGGAACTGTATTTGTAGGTTTCCGATTTTCTAGCGCTATATGAGATTTGCTTTTTGGTGAATGTAGTTAGAGACTACAGGGTTTTGGGACTTTGGTGTTAGGGCAAATAACGGGAAAGATACCACCCACTAAAATAGCGAAATATTTATAAACTCTTTTTAGAACAGTTTTAGCCAGAAGAAGATTTTCCTCAGTTAAGGAATGTACCAATTATGTTTTAGAGTCTTTGCATACATTTCCAGAGCTTTTGCATATAAAAGCTTAACTCCAGAGTATGTGAACTTTATTGTAGGCTTAATGAGCTTTCATTAATCGTAACGTGGCACTCTTTTATTTGAAATTAACCTCCGTTGAGGTATCGAAGCTCGCTTATGCGAAATAAAGAGCTTTTACGCTGTAATTATTCATGTAAATGAGTATAAAGAAAGTGTAAGGCACCTGTGGTTATAAAATAGTCGACTATGGCATTAAATTAATTTTCCAGTTTTTTTAGCGTTCTCTAGTAAAACTGCTTTCTAAGTGCGAACACTGACGCCATATTCATTTAAGTTTTCAAGTTCTCTTTCAGAGAGTTTAAAAAATTCGTCCAAAAAGGTTCCCTACCAAAAGTCCTTTATGAAATTGGATTGTACAACAGAGCTTTTGATTCAATGTTGACAAAAGATAGCTTTTATTGTAGGCGTGCTTAAAAGCTTGAAGAGCTTCAGAATATGTAGATTAAAATTTAACAGAATAATATGTGTATAAAAATTTGCTAAGAACTAAGCTGAAACAGTTTTTTTTTAGAAAACATTAAGTTTTTTTTAGAAAAAAAAAACTGAAATTTTGTTTACCAAATATTCTATCTAAAAAATGTAAAAGATTTCTAAATGTAATTTTCCAACTTTCGAGCGTTGCTAGTTTTCTGCTTTGCCTGATTAATTGAGCTTTTAAGCTCAGAAATTGTAAAAATATTTTTCTGAGAAAACCAAAGAACTTGTTAAGAAGAAATTAGGAACCAAATGCCAATAACCAATAAGAAAGAGAAAACTCAAGAAAAAAAAAAATGAAATAAAAAATGGAATCAAAAATTTCATAAAAAGTAAAATTTAATATTTTTAGTCTTATTTAATACTTGCGAAATCTATTTAAGCTGTTGGTTTTTTGGTTTTGTTTTTGTAATTACTTTATTGCCTTGTCCACCATTACTACTCGAAGTACTGCTCTGCCGCGCTTGGGCAGTGCTCTCACGCAGACTTTCGCGGGCGCTCAAACTTCTCGAGACTGCTACCTTGGCGCTCGTATCGCTAGCCGAATCGACACTTGAACTGCCCAGAAGGCGACCCCATTTACTAGCACGCGTACTACGCGCAGATGGTGGACCCGATGAGGGCGAGGGTGATGGCGTTGGAGAGGGTGCGGCAGCTGTTGTTAGGATGCGTGAATCCTCGGTGAGGGTTAATTTAGCAGGCAACTTCTTGGATAGGTTGTCACAAACAAAACGAGCGAGCAATGCGGGAATGGCAGGCGCAGCCAACAAGAAAAGGGATTGCGGGTGGAATTGAAGAGCAAATAAAAGAATAAGAACAAAGGGAATGCGGTAGTAGGTGTGCAGAGGAGGGAGCGCAATTGAAAAACGGGTAGGGAAAAGGTGTTCGGTGTGTAGTTTGGGCATTAAGGGATTAAGCGTGTACACAAGATGGAGGTAAAAGGAATTGACAATTAAAATTTTTCGTTAGTATGCAAATTTTGACATGTATTTTTAGTGTTGAAAATTTGTGATAAATTTAAAAAAAAAACATTCAATAACAACAGCGAACATTAAAGGCATTCACATTGACAGGAGAGTGGGGGTGGCGCAAGGGTTAAATGAGAAGATGTAAAGCATTTTTGTTTTTATTTTAGAAATTTGCAAATATTTTTTATGCAAAAAGCGTCAAGTTTATGTTTGGAGGAGGAAAGTTAGTATGAAAATAAGAAAAGGACGAGAAAGCATTGTTTTTGTTTTACGGGAAGAGAGAAGAAGAGACAACGAGCATAAGTACGAGTACCACAGAGGTGTTGTTAGTGTTTTACACATTTTTTTTTTGTTTTTTTTTTTTTAGAAACGCATGAATTGTTTACAAAATTAAAAAAAAAAAACAAGAATATTCTAAAAATATGTGTTTACACATCTTTTTTTTATTTTAGGCTTAGTAACTAGAAGATATTTATGTAAAAAATGTGCCTAAAAGTAGGCAATATTTATTATATAAGATCACTGCTGTACTTTAGGGATTGCGATCGAAGTAAGTAATATGTTCTCAAGAGAGTAGTGGTGGCGAAAGAAATTGAGAATTTTTCTAAAATTTAAAAGTACAAATTTGAAAGTTAGAAATTTTAAAGGGGAAAAGAATAAGTGATACCAAGGGAAAAGTTTTGAGTAATTTAATCATCTTGAATCACGCTGAGCTTTTCAAACAGAGCTACCAGGCATAAAAGAGATCGTTCTCCGACTGCCCTCTTTACGAATTTTAACAGCTGCTGGTAAACTATTACCTTAACCGGTTATCAATTGTGAGTATGCTTTGTATTCGAATGAAACTATACGAAAAGTGGAAGTTGCATACTTTTAGGCACATACTTTGCTAGCCAAAGCTTTACTCCCAAAAAATATCACATTAAAAAAATTGGATATGCAAAGAATAAAGGGAAAAATACTTCACATTCTTTGAATATTCGATGCGCATTACTGCGGTAACCATTCGTCACAGCAGTGATCCATATGTTGCATAGATACTTACAATTTTAGATTTTGAAACCCACAAGTAACAAATAAACATTACTTAGTGTGTGTTAGTATTCAAGGCTCAAAGCCATTAACAATTTGCAACAACAAATACACACCAGCACATCGATAAGTATACACAGTTTAAATGCAATTAAAAAAAAATAAATTTTGCAAAACAAAAAAAAATTCAAAACAAATATGCGCTAATTTTCAGCCGAAAAAAAGAGAACCAGAACCAAAAAGTTATCCAGCACACACATGCAATAATTACAAATATTTTCACACACACCTTGCTACACACATAAACTTGCAAATACAATACATAAATACACTTGCGAACACAACTCACGTAAACGTGAACCTCATCCACACCTACCTTGGTGCGATCCACATCACCATCGCCCTTCTCTACATCACTTTGGCCCGAGACCACCTCCTTGGAGCCGGTTTGCACCTGCGGCGTACGACGGAACTTTGAGAATATCTTACGCACCAAATGATCTTGATTTTGAGGCAATTGAGGTTCGTTTTTACGCCGTTCGGCCAATTCTTTCTCGCGCTTCACATCGGCCACCTTGCGAAAAATCAGTCGATGTCTTAAATTGTAGGTGAGCACCAGATTGCGTGCAAAACTATTCGCAAATGCCGAATAGAAATCGAGGACTTCGAGCAATTTATCACGCTTGATGGCATGCAAATCACAATAGGTTAGGGCGCGCACATTGGCAGCGCTCTGGCCAACGGCCGAATCCTTCCAGAATTGATCGCCGAAGACGTCGCCCTTACCTGTGGAGAAGG